GTGTGTGTGTGTGAGTGTGAGTGAGTGTGCGTGAGTGTTTCTGTGAGTGTGTGTGTGTGTGTGTGTGTGTGTTTCTGTGTGTGTGTGAGCTGTTATTCCCCTGTCCAGTGGCGTTATGGACCCTACATGGAGCGCTGGTTGTGGTTGAGGCCGGGAGGAAGCAGTGCATGCTGGGAGGATTTTATCAATGAATCAGTGAAGTTGTGTTTCCTGAGGAACGATGACAAACCTTCAAATGTCCAGTTTATTACCAACATTTGAATAAAAACAGCGTTATCCAGGAGGATTCTGGGAGGGAGCTGCTCTGTTTGAAAAGTGATTTGGCTTTAAACAATTAAAACTGAACTGAATGGAATTAAAGAGCGGTAACGTTTCCCTGCCTCATTATTACAACCTGCTTCCTGTTTACAGCGGCAGGCACATGCTCAGTGGACGTGAACCGCCACAGAGGTTGTTTGTGAAACGGGGCTGAAACACTCGTCTGGACGGAGATTGTTTTTGTTTTCACGTTATCTGTGTATCCTCTCTGTGTGTGTGTGTGTGTGCTTACAGCTGTACGAGGTGTCCCGACTGCGTTCTCTCAGCAGCCTATCAGAGCTTTCCGTGTCAGGAAACCCCGCCTCCTCGCTGCAGCACTCCCGCCTCTTCCTCCTCTACCACCTCAGGACTCTGGACAGGCTGGACGACCTGCCAGTCACCCAGGAGGAGAGAGGACACGCCCACCAACGTTTCAGCGCCGGTACATTTTCATATCACACAAATCTGTGATGCAGCGATGGGAATGTAGATTGATCTTACAAACCCTGTCGCTGTTTGATCAGAGGAGCTGGAGCGTCTGCAGACGGAGCAGCAGGACGCGGTGACTCGACTCCACCAGCAGGAGGAGACAAACCGAACGCTGACGGCTCAGACAGAAACACAGCTACACAGCCAGACACTGCTGGAGAAAGAGCTCCACACCAAGAGTCAGCTGGTAGGACACACACACACACACACACACACACACACACTGACCCTTTGACCTCTGAAGTCCTCCTAAAACAGGAATAACTTACTACATTTCCCAACTTGTCATAGACAGCGTTTCATAAAGTTTATAAAGTTTCCCAGAGCTTTTAAGGGAGTGTGTGGTTGCTTTCTGTCTCCATCTCCCTGCATGAAACTAAAATGTAGTTTGAAAGTGTTTTACCCACAGACCCAGGAGGCTGCTACAGTAATAATAAGAATAATATGAATAATATTAATAATAATAATAACTGCTCTTGTGTGAACTGCTTTCACTTTGCTCCCTGCCCCCTCTCTCTGCACGTCCAGCCCCGCCCTCCCGTCTCTCTGCTGGGCGTGGTCTATCAGGTACTCAGACATCACACTGACATTTAATCTCCCATCATCCTTAGCTCCCTCAGATTCCTGCTTTGTGATCCCAGGTAGCTTCACAATAATGAGAGGCATGTGTGTATGTGTGTCAGCCAACTTGTTTGTTTGTTTGGACTAGGGCTGCACAATATGGTGACATTATTTATATGTTAATAAATATATTTACAATATGATTGATGATTAGTGGGAATGATCATTTCTTTAGGATAATGTGACATTTATGGTCTGTAGCACCAAACAAACATACATTCTTACATTTGATTAGTAGGTCTGCAGTTCTACAGGACTTCATTATAATGCTGTTTGTGACTAATTCTACCTTTTATCAAAGAATTGCAGCTTCTACTATTTATATATTGCACTTAGCCATATTGTGAATAATTATATTAATTGTGCAGCCCTGCAGTGTTCAGCATGTCTCCTATAAGTGCTGTAAATGATCACTTTAATGATCTTCTCACCTTTAACAGAATACCACTACAGTTCAGGTTTTATACTTTGTCTTTTGTTTGTTTGTCTGACTGCTGGTTTACCATCAGGGTTGTTATCAACCAAGACCCTCATAGCTGCAAACAAGATGCTGTCTGCTCTTGTTATCCACATCCTCTAATGCCACCCAACTAACTGTTTCCAGGATCATTGAAATGCTCACTTGAGCTTCACATCATAAACTTTGTCTTTAACCACCATTTTCTCACGAGTGTCTGATCTGTACTGAGCATGTGCAACTCAAGGACTCAACAAGATGGCTCCCTCATTATCTACTTAAAACTATTATTTTATTTTTAATGTAAAACTTCCTTACTTCTCACTTTAAACTAAGGTTGCATTATCAAAGCCAAGTTGTGGCACGTCTTTTGCTAATGTTGATGCATTTTCTGTCTTCAGTTGGAGAAGACGTTAGCTGAGTTGACCAGAGCCTTTCACAGACTGTATGAGCTGGAGCAGGAGTGCACTTTCCACAAGATAGATGCCAAATTCATACCTCTGGCCTCCTGCAACGTGCAGGTAACAATAACACACACACACACACACACACAGGTAAAACATAGAGCTAGTATCTGTATTGGCCAATACAAGATTTATACAGATATCTATATCTGCGTGAAACAGTCAGAAACCCATGTATAGATATAAATGTACATTTTATAAGGATATTCAGACTTAATAGGGTTTGAGATCATACTTTCATTTTGATTTCATTATGGAAACAACCACAATACACAGGTCACACATCCAAACTAACTCGTCTGTCTCATCAGGAAGTCCACACTGTGGACTCTGTGGCTGAGAGTACATACATCGGCAAGGCTCGACATGTCAGGAAGGCCATCAGCTCCACTCCCCGGAGCTCATCCCCCTTCTCCCCCCTGCAGACCCAGGAGGCTGCAGACATTCACACTGACATGGAGTCGTCACGCCCCCTGCAGGAAGAGCAGAGTAAAGGTAATGACAGAAAGAATTCTATTTTTGTCAAAGCTACAGATCAGTTTAGTTGTATACAGCGTCCACTTCTTCTCTCCACTTCTCTCAGCT